AGATTAAACTGAGGAATGAAATCCGTGAATAAAAAGTAGCCAAATGCTTAAAAAAATGACAAAGCATTGTCTCAAAACCATTTTTAAAACCAAAACTATCCTCATCTGGTTGCACTCTTAAGACAAAAACATATAAGCTTTTTTAGTCACCTTGTGGAAAAACTACATCCTTAACTGAGTAAAAAGTTAGGAGGTCGTGTAAAATGTAAATAAAACAATAATAATCTCAGTGAAACAGTAAAAAAATAAACGTTTAAACTGAAATGTTGTACAATTTTTTTGGATAATAAAGATTATAATATTAATAATCAATAATATAATATAATATAACATAATATAAACACAAAGCAGGGACTTTTCTTTCAGAGTCCTCCTTTGACGTCACTTCCTGTTTCACTTTAGCTGTGCTAAGTTCAAAAGAAAATAGTGTGAGGGTGTTGGAGGTGTTGATTTTCTCATCTACAGTTCATAAAATGAACAAAACAGAAGTGAACACTGGCTGCAGGGCCACAACATTTATATCACCATTTGTGTCATATTTGCTACGCAGGATTCTGTGACTTAAAGTTTATCAATGTGATCAAAATCTTCTTCAAAAACCTGCTGTATCATGTGAGACCTGCAGTCTGCCCTCTGGTGGATTATCACTGTACTGCAGGAAGTGGAACTAATGTTTTTGTTGTTTTTTGTTGTTGTTGTTTTTTTACCTTTTCAAAATGTCTGCTGACATGACGTCATCCACACTTTTTTTCAGGAAAACTTTTGCTAATTTTGGAGAATTTATGGTAAGAATAACATTAATATTGCTTGTAATTTTTTAAATAAATACTTTCTGTGTTGAAACAATGCATAATTACTTTAAAATATTTTTTAATAGTACAGTTAAACCGTGTTAAAAATTTGTGTATCAAACTTGAAACTGCAGGTGCTCCAGTCCTGAAAGTCATGTGACATTTTAGTAATTTTAGTAATTTAATCAACAGTATTCTTGCCACAATACAAACACACTATTTTGGATGATTGATTAATTACTGAAATGCCATTTGAAAACACATTTAAGCTATTTTCAAAGTGGTTCCTTTGAAATTATAATCTCTACGCTGTACTGACTAATTATTTATGTGTGTACTTTTAGAAGTCAAAGAGAACTGAAGAAAAAAAATAGAAAGTAAGAAAATGTCATCAATATGATAACAAATGGCAATTTTTTATAAAGTGTAAGGTACATCTGTGCCTGAACAAGGACAGAAACTGTTTTTGTGCCTACCACCAAGTGAAATAAATGGCTGTAAAAAGTTCATTGTAAAAAAA